TGTTTTTTCTTTTTAGTATTCTCTTTGTTGCTGCATTTTTGTTTTAAAAAAATTTCTCTTCAACAATTGAACCAATGAAATATTTACACTCTGCGGCGGTTCCACGATCGCATTTCAACGATCTAGTGGTCAGCGAAGTCGGGAGTTTTTTGATAATGTAGACCAGGGTGGTCAAGACCCTGTCATGCTGATACATTCCGTGCGGCTCACAGAACAGTTTTAGTGCATATTTGTATCTAATGGAGGAACGTTTTTGAGTTTTTTCAGCCCGAGATTCAAAGCTTTTTTCTGACGCTTTGTGCCTTTATTTTAGTAAAACACTCCTCTGTTTTTAAGCGTCGGCCATATGACAGTAGTGACGAAACGCAGAGCCGACTTGACGCCCCGCAATCCAGTTTTTTTTAGCTAGGTCCCGAAATACCAACTAAGACGGACTTGGTTGGTATTTGACGATGGCACTAAGCTTGCTCGCGCTGCAAGTTTTTAAATTACCTATGTAACAATTCGTAATAAAATGAGTGTCGCAAGAAAGGTGACATAAGGAAATCAAGGGGGAAACGTATTTCCTTGCCCATCACACAGTCTCTGGCTTGATTTCAAGTAATATCTGTCACGAAAGAATATAATTTGAAGCGAGATGCGCAAAATACAACGGTAATTCTTGGGAATTAACTTTAAAATAACTGAAGGCTTTATTTATCTTCTTTAAAATAACGCCACCCATACAACATAATAATAGTCTGATTAGAACGGTAAACTCCCGTTGTTCATTAAATTTAAAGTAAGTGAATTCGCGATATTTTGATCACTTTTAGGTTTACTCGACTCGGCAGTAAACGGCCGATATCTATATCGGCTATATATGACAGTTATAAAACCTAAAAATATTCGTAAGAGTTGTTTTATTTACTGTTGGTTGTGATTATTTTTAATGGATAATACACTTATGTGGTTTATTGTTTAATTGAATTACACATGAGGGGGCACCAAAGTCTTCAGTGCTTAGGGCACCAAAAGGGCTTAATCCGCCCCTGGCTAAAATCCATGGGTTAGGGTTAGTATGGGTTCGAATATCCGTAAAAAAAAAAGATTTCCACATGTGCAATAGTATGCGGGTACAAATGTCGTGAGTTCAAATGTAATGCAGCCCCAAAAAAATGATGCAAAAAGGCTCCCATTTACAGTAGTCATATCCCAGTGCAGGAGATTCACGCAGCAGATTCCATTGTGGTCAAAACTAAGCCAAGTTAGATTCACCTGGGCCCCTGAAAGTTTGTGTATAGATCTTTCGTGTCACTGTGAAAAATCTTGACCATCATTGTACTACTTGGTTCGGATAAATTCATCTTGGGTTATACACAGGTTTGCCATTAAAAAAAACTATTTAAACTCTACCTTTCATACGCAGTTACAGACATTTTAACATTTCTTATCAAATCTACAGTACTGTTTGGTTTTCGTGCTGAACAGGTTGGCAAGACGATATAATGACTTTTTTAATCGAACGTTTCCAACCAACCGTCGAGCCTAATTAAGTAAAACAAACAGCCGTTAGAATAGTTACGACGGTTTGGTGCATTGTCTGGCAGCAAACTAAAGAAAAAAGAAATTTCGACGCCGATCGGCAAAGAAGTAAACAAGGAAGTCGATAACCGAGAAAAGTCTTTTGTATTTATTTGACGTCACGTCTCGTTATCAAGCTTTGCGACTTGATTGGCTGTATTGTGCACGTGATAAAAGCTGAAGGGTTGATTGGTCAACGATATCAATCGATAAAAATGGTTGCCAGGATTGTATATATTCACACAAAAAAGAAAACGTTAGACGTGTAGAAAATAAATTGAGAATTTCAGAAAAACGTCTAAATAAAAGTTGTCAAGGTATCAACAAAAGAACAGCTTGTTGAGCACGCTATTATTTTGCATATTGGGTGTTATTATGAAGTATAATCTATGAAGCACTTACGAGCAGCTTCACTTTTGAGGTCATGAATGTCGAATCCACTCTATCAGTATTGTACATTAAAAGACTGAGTTGTGATAATTAAGCTAAGAAAGCTTGTGTTAAATGATCTCTGTATTTACGAGCAATCTGTACGTTTACGTCTGACGTAAACAATAAAAGCTACCTCGACCTAAATCGGAATCTGGCAACATCAAAAGCTGTCGCCATTTCTTTTCTTTGTTTCGCCCTGCGGCGCCCGTAGTTCTCTTTTTCGCGTCATATTGAGTCGTTGTCTGACTATACGCTGAGCGGTTTGTTCACAGACTTTTTTTGGTGTATAGATGTAGGTCCGTCCGTTCATTGGTGTTTTGTAGTTTACCGAAAATAAAGAAATGTTAGTGAAGTTGTTCGCATATACAGATATAGCCTACCTGTATACGCTATGACAGTAATGCTTTTATTCAGTTATTACTGCGTACAGAAAAAGATAAATTAATGAATTAAAACATCGATTGATAAATACAGTTTCAAGAGTTTACGGTAGGGATAGAATGAAATGGAGTCAGAGGTAGGGACAGCAGGATCAAATAATTTAGCCTCTTGTGTAACTGCATCGAATAACCATAATTCTGTAATTGTGATACTTTCAGATTGTGCTAGTGTATTGTTTGAATTCATAGTTGTTCCTATTACAGTACGGCACACTTTACAGATCGAGAGACAATCTCTCGTTTTAGAGAAACCTATTTTAACGGTGATCGAATATCCCTCCTTCGATGGACGTCTGGCGGATTTTGTCTCCCGATATCGATAAATTGAAGCTGCGCAGTAAACTAACAAAAAGCGCAATCTAAAACCATCACCATTGAATTCCTCGTGAAAAAATAATCAGATCTACCGATGTAAATAAAATTTTACCGGTGCGTTCGAGAGAAATGAGCAAAAAACGATTGACGGCGTGTGACGTCACTGAATTTCAATCGACGCACGCAGGCACGCATCGGCCGTTCCTCGACGTAAACCTTGGCGTGCCGTGTTTCTCTCATTTTCAATGTAGAAAGGATGGCGTGTTAACGATAATAAATGGATCAGAGATAATATAAATTACATTTTGATAACACACAATCGATAAACAGTAAAATTAATGCCTCGATATAGCATTAGATGAATTAGTTCATAAAGCAATAATTTAATCTAATGCCGCAACGAGACATTCATATGCCGCAAAATGTGCAACTTGCGTAATTTATACAAGAATAGATCGGCGAAATACGAGAATCAAATTAGCAAAATAACTTAATATAATGCCACATCGATGTATTCATATGCCGCAAATGTTCAGTTTGCATAATTTATACTAGTATAGATCGGTAAAATACAAGATTCAAAATAATATAATGCCCCATCGATACATTCATATGCCGCAAATGTTTAACTTCGAAAGTTACGGTATACGAGAATAATTTAATTCAATGCCACATCGAGGCATTCATATGCCACAAATGTTAATCTATACGAAAATAATTTAATTCATATGCCGCAAATGATCAACTTGCGTAATTCACACAATAATAGATCGGCAAGAAACAAGAATCAAATTAGCAAAATAATGTAATATCATGCCGCATCGATGTATTCATATGCCGCAAATGTTCAATTTGCGTAATTTATACTAGTATAGATCGATGAAAAACAAGATTCAAACTAATATAATGCGGCATCGATACATTCATATGTCGCGAATGTTTAACTTCGAAGTATACGGAATACGAGAATATTTTAATTCAATGCCACGTCGAGGCAATCATATACCGCAAATGTTAATTTGCGTGATTTATGCAAGAATAGATAGGTGAAAAACAAGAATCAAATTAATATAATGCCGCATTGATGCATTCGTATGCCGCAAATGATCAACTTGCATAGTCTGTGAAAAACAAGAATCAAATTGGCAAAATAGTTTAATCCAATTAATCATCGAGGCTTTTATTTTACTATAGATTGTTGACGCTCAAATTTAAATAAAAATCTCGAATATAATTATTAAATGATATCGTAATTCGTAATCGTTGTGCGTTCTGGAAGTTTCAGTTCTGAATAACCGAAGATGCTATGTTAAATTGTTGTAATTACAGGTATTAACGGGCATACAAATTTCACTATCGATATTAATTTAACTATTGAAAAAAAAAACTTCGATATCGTGCATCGTTTTCACTTTGTTATACGACAATTCAACGATGTCATGTAGTCACAAACACTTATAATAAAATTAGTTGGACTCGTAGACGTATTAATCGAAACGCATAATTTTGTAATCTCTTGATATTATTTAAAAGTAATTATTTTATTCACAGACGTTTGCATTTACGCGACATTATTTTAATTAGGCACTACCAACAGTAGACTGAATATAATGATTCAGAAATACCTCGTATATCTAACCATATAGGTCAGTATACATCGGTAAGAAACGAAAATAAAATTAGCAAAATTCGAGAGCCGTGCCGAACTGCCGATCTGTGCGTGACTTTCTTTGACGTCATATCCAGACATCTGACGTTCTCACGCATCGAGCTCGCAGACGACTCGACGCCCCCGGTTTCACAGACGCCTATTCATAATTTGGCTCTTCCGGAATGTAGACGCAAATCCGGATTCGGGATAGTGTGCCGTACTGTATTACAGTAATATTAAATACATATCATCTTACCGTCTGCTGGAACAACAACTTTGAATACTGAACTAGCAAGCTGTGAATATCTGTTTTTAAAAGAATCACTGAGGTAATAATTTGTTGTACTGCCATACGGTATTTATTAAAATTGACATTTTATCTTTTGTGGAATGATTTAATAGATGGAGGATTGTTGCCTATAAAAAATCAATCTTTGTAAAAAATCCTAATTCAATCTTCTTTTTTTGGGAAGTAGACTATTCCCTTTTCAAAATTAAAACTGGAAGGAAAGTGCTGATACTTGATAATTCAAATATTAAGTGCAAAAATGCAGTGATTAAATATTTTTGAATGTTACCTTATTTAGATGAAGCGAGAAATGTCAAAGCCGAAAAGACAAAGTGGCAATGTCCACTTAAAGCAAAATCCTTCTTCAAAAGGAGAAAACAATGAAATAACGTTCGTTATACTTCCGCGAGGAGCAGAGCTCCCTCGGTTATCTTCACAACAATTACCTCACACTCAGCAACAAAGGCGAGCAATTGGTTCTCGATTGAAAAGTAACAGCATTTCAGATAAATCGGACTTCAGCTCTAGCGTTTCATCATCTGATGAAACAATGTCAGGTTGTAGTTATGCGGGAGCTGGATTTCACTCCCCTCCCAATGCAGAACTACTTCCATCACCACCCATGCACTGGATGAGCGGTGGCCAACCTACCTCTCACTCTGTGGCAATCAACTTCCAGTTAAACCAAGCGCTTTCCGTTGCTGCCTTGACTTCACATATCAAAGGACTTTTGAAAGTTCCAGCCCAAGCATGAAATCATGCAAATTTCTACATTGCACATTTCATAGACGATGACGGACTTTGTATCTTGTAAAGTTTATTCCTAATGTTTTCTGAGTCAGAAGTTTTATATATTATGCTATGCCTAGCATGTGGTTTGGGTGGATCATACTTTCCAAAAGTTGGATTTAATCAACAAACATGCTAGACAAAATATAATTATCATTCCAAAAAACTTCTACTCAGAGTTGGTATTTGAAACTGCTTCTCTTTCCCAATTCATTCCATTTATATTTTTGTCAATTTTTTGAAGGTGTATCCTCGTGTGCACCCAGCAACTTGCACAGTTTCTTTTTTCTGCTTCTTCCAAAGTTCCTGCAACTTCATGTTGAGCATGAAGATCGTGCTGATGGTGCTGTGCACGTTTATACTTTTCATTAGAGAGCGGCAAGTTTTAAATACCACTATTTTACCGCAATACATGCCAGAGTTTGTATATGATTTTATTTCTTTCGTAATTATCTTGTCAAAGTGCGACTCGTGTCATGAATTGAATATATAAAAGCCTTAATTCTGCAACAATGGTATTTTTTATCTTTTGTAAATTGAATATATATCATCAATTTATGACATGACAAGCAGTGTGTGGGTTATTTTTATTTGAATTAACGACTATGTAGTTCCCCACTCCCCTTTTCCCCCACCTTAGAAAAAGTTTCATTCTATCGGTCTGATTGTTGAATCAAATGAAATTAAGCCGTACAAACTGATGGGCAAATTTTTGTTTACACTGTGCTGTGATTAAACAATTGTATTCAATGTTTGTGAAGTTTTTGAATAGTTCCTAAAAACTTGAAAATATTGAAAGCATGTTTTACATATTATGGTGTTGCATACTCTAGTAACGATTGTTCAACTAGATTGGGAATTTCCACTGTATCATACCAAGCTGACTGAAATGAATTGCGATTTAAGTTTTTTATGTGTGTCAGCGGAATATGACTAGTTGAATTTCCAACTATTGTTCGTAATTTTTTTTAATGATCGCTGCTTTTTGTCCTTTTTTTTCTACTTTCTACACCTTATTTGTGAATGCCATCACAAATAATGTATTGATATGCCATAGTTATTGTGCTTTTAATAGTGATGTTATTACTTTGAAAGTTTTTATTGGCTCATAGAATAAGGTGTGTGAGAGAATTATTTTGTAAAATGTTATTGTTAGTGTTCAATTTGAAAGTATGGTTTCGTAGCAAAAACTCCCAATATATTTTTTTGGATTTGAAAACAAATATTGTTCAAGAAAACTTCATTCGACCCAGGCTAAAATTGTTCTTGTTGAAAACATTTCCACATTAAAATTCCATAATCAGTGTAGTAATTAATACGAATATATATTTGATAAAATTTAGCGCCAAATGTTGACATTTTATTGCAGTTTGAAGGTTGTCCCACCCCTCCCTGTTTTTGTGGCAATCATTGGCCCAAGCTTCGAAACCATATATTGTCAATATTGTGTTAAGGGCATATATCCAGGTTCCATTTTAACATGTGAACATTCCCATATAAAATGATTCACTATCCGACGGCAGTTTTGGAAAAATAGAACATTTTTTAAGGCAGTTATTTTAAGAACACGCGGATGGCTGGCATGTTGCCAGTGCTTTCTTGTCACCTCATTGATTCTTCACACCATTTAATTATAGATTGCTATAATTAGGTGGTCTGATCTTCATATTAATTGTTGAAATACTAGATCTCATTTTTTTCAAATAGGGGATTTTTTTTTATAGATTTTTGCCAACTCTATACCCTATAGGATATATATGAAATGATAATATCCTCATTCAGCCCTTAGGAAAATATCTGGATATGTGCCTGATTTAAATGTACATTTTTTATCTTCACAGCTGGGATTCCAGTATTTACATTATATGTTTTTGTCATTTGAACCATGCCTTTATCCCAAAGAGGAATTGATTATAAGATGTGGACGGAATGACCTGTGACTCAAATCTCCCAACTCACATCTTATAATCAATTTCTTGATGGGTTTGTCTTGTGAATTAATTTTTTTGTGATGTCTCTATTGCCATATATTGTTCAGTGCTTTTTACAAATGTACCCTTACCTACCCCATTCCATTGACCCCAAAACCGTTGATATACCACCCTTCCTCTCCACAATATTTTGTGGACAAACCAATCCTACAACAATATTTATCCTTCCACCCCCAATTTCTTCCCCCGGCTCTTTGAGCCACCCAGAGTTTGATAACGGAGTTTTGTCAGAGCCGTAGGCTCTAAAAATCGGCATGTGCGGCAATGTCCAATGAGAAGCATTGCTATTGCATGCTTGGAATAGTTCCGACCGATACGATCAAGCGACAAACAAATGAGGATATGAAGCAGTTGATAATAGGTTGAATTTCCTACCGGGCCAACTTACCGCTTTCAAATTACTTGGCATGGTGTGTTTATTTTTGTGTACAACCACTCCGTCAGTCGGTTGTGTGAGGCAGTTCTTCACCTTGGAAGTAAACCTCTCGGACAAAGCGTTTGTAGCGTTTGACAAACGAATGCCATAATCTGAACCGTCATTGCAGCTCCACTAGTTGCCTGTGAGACTTTTCTTTCGCTTTAGGCCTTTGGGCGGTAGTTCAAAACCACCGTGCCGCGGCAATGATTATTTTTGAATTTATTTCATGTGGTTCCAATAGGCAGTTGAAAGTTAGCATATTGACTTACAGACGCGTATTTTGATTCGTGAAGAAGATGAGTGTACACTAAGCTGCTATGGTATTTAGTCATACTTCAAGTTGAGCACTGAAAATTCTTTTGACGCGGTGAATCTTCTCTGCAACTGTTCATTTACATTTTCTGTATTCAATTCAGTGCCGCTGATACCAAGGCCGCTTGGCTTGGGCACGGAACTCGGCGCATCGCTAAACCGATTCTGCGAGAATTAGCCCACGGCTCTTGCTAACAAACAAACGACAAATTTGAGGAGTCTTATTTTGGTATTGTTACAATTCTTTGTGGGGCGTTCACAAATAGCAGCAGTAGTATTATTATTTTATATCTGTTAGTAAATACAGGGTATATTGTATTTACATGAATAAAATTCCCCTTATATAGGACTACCATATTTTTGTGACTTCAAAGCGGGATGCCTCCACAAGACCCTTGGCTGTGATTTTTTAACTTCACATTGCACGATTTTACTACATAGGCCTACATTCAAAGCCATTTCGACTGTCTTCATCGACCATATTGTTATCGAGAGTTCGTGCGCACATCCTCTGTTTAAATATCGGTTTAACTTTAAGGACGTTATCGATACAAAATAATTCGAATTTGGCCACACAATAATTGCAGTGTACTTTATCATTAATGGTTTCTTTTAAATGTGGGTATTTTCGTTTTGAGTCATTTGTAAATGTACATTTACGCGTAACAAATTGTACCAATTACTAGAAATGGGACGAGATTCGAGTCGAATCTATGCATTTTGGGGACTCTGATTCGATTTCGAGTCCACGACATTTTTGCTGAGTCCCTATTCAGTTCTGTTTTGAATAATTGGCGCCTCCGTTACGCGGGTTAGCCGTTTTAAGAGTAAGTATAAACATTATTTTTACAAAATATTGTGATTTGTCACATGAGACATCTCTAAAATTAGACGTACATAATGTATCACAGGCGTTTATTAGACATTTCGTCCCTAATGACCACATCCCAATAAAACATCAAGGCTCTTTTTGGTGCGCGAACCAACAAATAACTCTTCGTAAACAAAATAGAAAGGATAGCACCCCAATGGAAAATTTATTAACACGTTTTCAATTACAGTTTATTGCGTGCAACTTCCTGAAAATAGGAAAGCAAGAAAAATCTGCTAAAAGAAACGAAATTATGCTCGAACCAAGTTAACGACTTAACAGAAATGAAAAAAAAAACAGCAACAAGAGGCATTGAATGGGAAAGTGACAACTGTGTGCTACTTGCGAAATAAATTTTTTTAGAGCTAATAGCATCTGCAACCATGCAGACGTATCGTAGTCAAAATTGAGTTTCTTTAGATTGACATGCAAGAATGTTAAAATTTTGACGTTTTTTGGCTTCAGATGGTTACGTAACGGCGACGTTACAACGCCAGCTGAGCTAAAAAGACGCTCAGAATTAACTGACGTAGGGGGGGGGGACGTTGGGGGGGGGGGGGGGGCATGAAAGCAAGCTTACGGCCAAAGCAAACATCGCCTGGCATTCATTTCTGTATTGTGGCCAAATGGAGACTTGTGCCTTTTAAGAGTAGGTGTCGCAAGATATTGCCCGACAGCAGTTACAATATCACCATCCACATCCACCTGTTCCCTGACAGGACCCGCGTTCTCAGGTGTACCGAAGACCACACTATCTTCGGCCTCTTCTGATGACGATGATTGATATAATTCAGTCCCTTCGTAGAGTTCAACCTTATCCGTGGCGAACTTCTTCACTTCAGCAACAAGCAGCCGTTCAATTTCTTGCCGATTGATAGTTGAGCACCACGACAACTTTAACCTTGGATCGAGAACTGTAGCCAATAAACAACGATTAAATGAAGCCTCGTTCTGAAAGTAGGCGTCTCGGGCCTGAGGTCCATTTCCAGGAACGCTAAATCTCCGTTCTATACCACTTTTGAGGCTATTCAGAAAATGTTCGAGTTCATAAATATCGCTGTCACTAATGAATGCTTCCAATCTTTTCAAGAAATTCTACTAAAATGACTATGTCCGCTATGTCCCTACTAAAATGGCTATGTCCCTACTAAATTGGCGATATTCCTACTAAAATGGCTATGTCCCTACTAAGATGGCGATGTCCACTATGTCCCTACTAAAATGGCTATGTCCATACTAAAATGGCTATGTCCCTACTAAAATGGCGATATCCCTACTAAAATGGCTATGTCGCTACTAAAATGGCGATATCCCTACTAAAATGGCTATGTCCCATTTAAAATCGCGAATCCGATATTTTCCTACTAAAATGA